GATGCCTCCTCCAATGTCAATGAATATACCATGCAAAAACCAGAACAGTCCAATGACCATTCCATGCATACCAAAAGGAGACTGACTACATAGGAACTCAAATGAATATATCCATGTGAGAAAATGTGATGTACCAGCTAATACTGATGGTATGACTAGTATCCAATAGGAAATATCAATTGTTTTAGTAACTGGTTCCCATATGAAGAAGCAAGGCATATTAGAAATATCATCACTAATCCTTCCGATCAAGTCAATGAGAAATAAACTAATAATAGACAATATAATAAGAATGTTAGCCAAACCAAGTCCTTTTAATGGATTAGTTATAAAATATTCTAATTTAGGGAAGAGAGGTAGAATAACCAGCTCAAACAAAGGGACTATAATAAAAAATGAGGAGAATTTGCCAAGGACCCAAATCACAGTTTCAGCATTTCCTTTTAAGTCTTCATAACCATCTTTAAATTGTGCAGCAAACATTGAACTATTTAAAAATGTAACAGTGGAAATAAAAAGGGGAGAAAAGGTAACTAAAACAACAGTAATACGTAGAAAAGTCTTTACATTTTCCACTTCTTCATGAGAGAAACAACCACCATACCTCTCCTTAGCAAGATCCATTCTACTGGGCTCCTCTCCCCAGTATGTGAATGCACTACGATGCTGTCTTCTAGTGCGACTACTTTTGAGAGTAAATTTCAATACCTTAAATACAATTTTGTAAGGATTAGGAATAGGTATGTGCTCAAAACGATGCTTAAAAAGAAAATGAAGACAAAGAGAAAAAGAAAAGAGAGCAAAAGCCACAACTGAAATGACAAGTTCATCTGAAATAACTGATAATGCAAAGCCACCATAAAAACACAGTGAGAACCAGTGAATGAATGCTCTTATCTTGACAGAAGATTCATTCATCAACTGATCTATACCATATGGTAATATATTAGAGATAATGAGCGAGAGTGATACTAACATTAAAACAAAAGCTATACCAAAAAACACATATCTTCCTATCAGAGCAGTAGTAGTACCACATGAGTGATATTGCAAACAGCATCCTATGGCCTGTATTAGAGTGCCTATCCAACCAAGCCATAGACCAAGATAAATAGCATTACCCCTACCAATCTTAGTATCTGATAACCAACCACAGAAAGGGGCAAGAAGAAATATAGAATTTCCTACCATAAGTCCAACAACAGGAAATGCTATAATTTTACCAGATTCAATAGATCCACATTGGTTGTATGGGTTGCGGGAAAAATTTGTGAAAAAGATTTCAAATAATGAACAGCTAACTCTTATTGGTAGAATATAAATCAGTAGTAGGATTGAAGTTAGATTCAATGAACGAGACTTTAATTCCTTACAGTAGTTATTGAAGCAGTTGAAAGGTTTGTACTTCCTTTTACTTGCATTGTTAACAAGTGAAGAAGAGGGTAACAACCTCCTTCTTTCTGGAGAGACAGGATCCATCTTATTTTAATAGTAGTGAACAGATATATCAAAATCACATGACAGTTGTTTTAGTCATAGTTTGTCCCCACCCTTTTACTCATGTTATGATAACACAAAGCAATAGCTTACAAGTGATCGCAGGGCAACAAATACTGGCAAAAAACACAAACCTTTTCTCAATAAAAAAAAACAGGTTGTGCATTGTATAAACCAGGATAGCGTCAAATTGTCAACTCCCCTAAGATGAATATCAGTTATCAGGGCTGGGTTGTTCTGCTCCAAATACTGACTCAAAGATATGAAGGAAAGGGACATTGATGATCCACTTACCTTGGCATTTTATTTTTCTTAGTTACTTGGCTGTGGCAGTTTCTAAAGCTAGGGAGATGGCTGCATATTGTCAAATATCATTGCTAATGTTTATGTAAACTGACAAGTATGCCAATGGCACCTCCACTTGAAGCAATACACATTCATCTTACTGAGTAATGTGCAGCACTTTTATGCTA